GCCCAAGGTACAGCAAACAGAATAGAGGAGACAATTCAGAAGGTGGATAGACCACATTAAAGAAACAGCAGGTGGTACATAGCAGGGCGTGGCACAGTGTAGAGAGGAATGGCGGAATTTGGAGGAGGCCTTTGCCCAAAAAGGGCACACAGATACACTAGAAGAGGATTAAAATGGAAATCTGTTTAAATGTTAATGTATCTGAATAAAGGCTATTATTATTATCTTTAATAAGAATAAGCTACCCTTTGCGGGGTTTGATTCAAGAATTATTTAAAAAAATAATTTTTATAGTAGAGTATGCGGAAAGAGAAACAATGTGTCATTTAAAAATCTGTGTCTTCATATCTCATAAGCTTCTGAATCAAGCATAATTAATAGACCTTCAAACGTGATGCAGAAATCATAGCCTATAGCTTATAAATTATTGTATTATTAATAACATCTTACACTTGAGAATTTCCTCTTTTTAAGTCAGTTGAAAAAGTAAAAACTTTAGAGATTTCTTCGGTGTAAACCCATATTTTGTTGCATACAAATGCTAAACATTATCTTCATTTGGCTATAGTTTAAAAAAATTAAACAAAAAGCATGGTTTTACGAAGTTACTTAAATTTTAAATCTTTTTGTATATTTTTTACTTACAATTGTACATTGAACATTACTGTATTTTTTGTTGTGTTTTTTGTACTATCTTATATCCTGTTTACAGCTGTGGCTTAACAGTTTTGAATGTGTTCTGAATTTGATTCTTGTCAATTTTTATTAGGGAAGTTGGGTCCTAGAGGAAAGATTTTTATTATGGGTGAATTAATAATTTTTTTTGTGTTCTCGTTCATCTGCAATTGGCTATCAGACGTAGTCAGTTATTTTCTGAGGTTAATTTGGTTTGGATGCGATTCAGAAACTAGATTTTTATTTTAGGTTATTTTCTCTGGTCTAGGTCTAGTATTTGCCATCTTTTAGGCGAGTTACATCATCTCCTGGAGTTAACAGATTTTTGGCCAGTTCATTTGTATGTTCGTGTAATCTTTTCCTGTGTCTACTACTGTGTTTGCGGATTACTGCTTTTACAGTTGGCATCTCCAGATAATCATGTATTTTCTTGCTTCTGACAAACCAGTGTGTACTTGAAATAGTTGAAATCTTTGGACGATTTCAATGTTGGAATTGCTTGCACAGCCTCAGAGTTCTATTCCATATGTCCATGTATGATGGCCTTGTAAGCAATTTGGTACTGAGGGTCAGTCTAGATTGCTGGCCTAGAAGCCAAGACAATTCTTTGAATTTCAAGATGGCTTCTGTTTTCTTGGCTTTTATATGGCAGATACAGTCCGAGATATTTAATTAATAATAAAAATGCTTCCACCAATATAAAGTGTTATCAGGTTGTTGGTATTATCAGGGAGTAATGTATATGTATCTATAGGTATGTAGCATGAGTGAGAAAATGTTATACAAACGGGAATTAGTTTCTTTTGAGAAGTAACCTCAGTACATTTTGATGGTTCTCAACTGCAGTATTGGAATTTGATGCTAGATAATTAATTGAAAAAGACATGACTGAATAAATGGACTAGACCGCATGCTTCACTAGTAAGATTTGTTGCATTGGACCTTTGAAAACTGGAGCAATTAAAAAATAATTTCAGCATTATCCTTGATTAACATAGACATATAGAATGCAAGAAAGTATGGGTTATTTATGAGATAGAGCTAAGGCGTATATGAAATCACAGGTTTTAACACTAAGTTTCGCTTGAGACGTGTAAAAACTAACAGTGGTATAAATAAACCCGGAATAACTTAAACCTAGTATAACGTCGGCGTAACTGTTCATACTAGCGTTATTCCAGCCACCAACCTAGTATAAGTCTGACATAACCTAAATCATGACTCACGGATTTTTAATGAAAGCCGTTTAAACAATTTTTTGAGAGGGAACAAGTTCATGGTAGATTACATGGTGACTCTGGCTATGATTAAACTCCTTATTTATTTACACCAGTACTAAATCCGACCATTCGTTTAGAAGAAGCATACAATTATGCCCACATTAAAACTCGCAATAGTAGAGATAAGTATTGGTGTTTAGAACAACCGATTTAGGTATTTATTGTCAGGGTATTCAGAACATCTCTAGCAAACACTACATGTATTTAGTAGCTTTTGCAGTCTTGCTCAAAATAGCCATTGAATTGAAAGAGGAACCTATCTCTGATGATGATGATGAGACCCTCCTCCACCACAACAGCACCCTCATCTCAAAATACAGTATATTTGCCTGCTGCGTGGAGCATCAGTGAGAGCCATATTTATTAAAGAAAACTTTTAAGTTTGATAGTTCCTAAACTATTAAGTTATTTTAACAAATAAATTTTTTTTAATACATTGTTATATTTATTTTTGGAAATTTTTTATTACATTATTCTATTTATTTTAAAGTGACTACTAAAGTTAAAGTCTTCACTAGAATGTCTGTCTGTAATTTTAAATTTTTCTTTACATAGCTGTGTATCTCAGCCATATTCTTAATTGTTTGTTTGTGTTCCTTTGGAAGGCACTCATTTTCAAGATTTTTTTAACAATTAAGTTATTTAAACAAATGAAACATATTTATTACATAATTCTATTTATTTTAAAATGACTACTAAAGTCTTCACTAGAATATCTGTTGGTAATTTTAAATTTTTCTTTACATAGCTGTGTATCTCAGCCATATTCTTAATTGTTTGTTTGTGTTCCTTTGGAAGGCACTCATTTTCAAGATTTTTTTAACAATTAAGTTATTTAAACAAATGAAACATATTTATTACATAATTATATTTATTTTAAAATGACTACTAAAGTCTTCACTAGAATATCTGTTGGTAATTTTAAATTTTTCTTTACATAGCTGTGTATCTCAGCCATATTCTTCTTTGTTTGTTTGTGTTCCTTTGGAAGGCACTCATTTTCAAGATTTTTTTAACAATTAAGTTATTTAAACAAATGAAACATATTTATTACATAATTATATTTATTTTAAAATGACTACTAAAGTCTTCACTAGAATATCTGTTGGTAATTTTAAATTTTTCTTTACATAGCTGTGTATCTCAGCCATATTCTTCTTTGTTTGTTTGTGTTCCTTTGGAAGGCACTCATTTTCAAGATTTTTTTAACAATTAAGTTATTTAAACAAATGAAACATATTTATTACATAATTATATTTATTTTAAAATGACTACTAAAGTCTTCACTAGAATATCTGTTGGTAATTTTAAATTTTTCCTTACATAGCTGTGTATCTCAGCCATATTCTTCTTTGTTTGTTTGTGTTCCTTTGGAAGGCACTCATTTTCAAGATTTTTTTAACAATTAAGTTATTTAAGCAAATGAAACATATTTATAACATTATTCTATTTATTTTAAATTTATCTTTACTTAGCTGTGTATCTCAGCCATTTTCTTATTTGTTTGTTTGTGTTACTTTTGAAGGTGCTTATTTTCAAGATTTGCGTTTTTTAACAATTAAGTTGTTTAAACAAATCAAACATTATTCAATTTATTTTTAAAACATTTTTATTACATTATTCTATTTATTTAAAGTGACTACTAAATTGTTCATTTGAATGTCTGTCCGTAATTTTAAATTTGTATTATATTAGAAGGCTTTTTGAAGGTTCTCATTTTCGAGAGCTCAACAACTATGTTTATCTGCATATGAGGCTTCCACAAAACTAAAACTATCTTTGCTTTCTGTTACAAATAAGAGAATATTAATTTAAGATAATAATAATAATAACAATAATTGATTTTCTCCCATATATCATTTTAAACAACAAACAACAAGATTACAGTTGAGAAGGCATTGGGAGGCATTTTCCAAACTAGGTAAGAACCTGTGATATGAATTACCAGGCATCCATTCCTCGAAGATCTTTCCACGCACAACTAAAAAACAATTATACATATGTTTTGATTAAACAATGTAGTTTTTTCAGATACAGATACTTGTTAAAATGTGGTTTACTTCTCTGTTATTTCGCTCCAAGCCTTCATTTTCGCCTTATTTGTGTTCGTACTTAAATCTTTGTTTTGAATTATGGATAGATAGGGTCGTAATATGTTTCTTAATAGTTGCTGTAATCAAACACAAGAAACAAATTAAAATACAACAAAAGCGATGAATAAACATTCATGTTTCAGTTTTACCTACTCGACATTCACAATTCTATATACCTGTTCTTCTTTCTCCCAATTAATACCGCGTTCTCTTTTATTATTTAGCATTTTAATATATTTTAAAACTGGTTTTGATAATCAAAATAAACAACCTCGGATCAAAATAACCGCGAATGAAAACGTCAAACTGACAAAAACACGCTTATCACAGACAAGTTTTGTTTTTTTTTTTAAGTTTATCAATGAATTGCGACGTTGCCGGGAAATAGTTATACCAACGTAGTAACGAGATTATAAGTAAGAAATTATGATCCCCTTATTCGAAGCATAACTATTCCTAGTATAAGGTTCGGATAAGTAAGTTTTCATTTTCATTTACTGTAATTCCTTCATTTGAGCACAAAGGCGTTTCACGAAACCCTTGCAAGTGCTAAATGTATTTCAACCTTATGTGGCATTATTTACGGCAGCTATTTCAATACACAGCACGATATACTCACAACGCGAGATGCGTTCTTTTTCACATGTGTGAGTGAAACCCTTGCAAGTGCTAAATGGATTTAAACCTTATGTAGCACTACTTGCGGCAGCTATTTCAATACACAGCACGATATACTCTCAACGCGAGATGCGTTCTTTTACACATGTGTGAGTGTCTCACCCTTGCAAGTGCAAATTGAATTTCAATCTTATGCAGTATTTACGGTAGCTATATTCTATAATTTCTATAGCTTGTTGACGCAGATGCACTCATATAAAATATTGGCCTAAAAGACCTTGTTTTGACTTTTGATAGCACGGCTCGGACTGTTATGGCCAGTGTCGCTCGGTCTCTAGCTATTCTTGCTTGTGTTTATCCGCTCCTCTTCTAGGCGGAAATCGGGCAGTTCGGGCAAAGCCTCCGCTCGCGGTGTGTTTGTTCGCGGCAGGACGGCACTGAGGCTGGCGTTTAGCCCTTGGTGTGGTGGAGACGAGGAGCGTCGGCGCTAGACTCACCTCAATCGTCTTTTCGTAGTTCATCCATTGTGAAGGGCGTCGGGCAGATTCGCGGCTCGCAGCGACCTGCGGATAAAGCTGCGTTAGTCTGTCCTTACCCAAATGTCTTGTCCGGTGGTGGTGGAACCCGCGAGGGTATGGAAGTCTCGTGTCGGGAGGCCTGAAGTGCCATGCCGTGCAAGGTGCAGGACGTGCGGGACGCTTCCGCCTGCTCGATCATGCTCGTGGCTGACCGTGCCAGGAAGTCGTCTATGGTCTCCAAGCGTAGCGTAGGTGCACTCCGGCGGCGCGTTCACTGCGCCGGAGTTTCGTATTCTGCATGGTGCGTAGTCGTCGGCGGGTATGTGGCGGAGTGCTTGGTGGGTGATGTCATCCGGTCCGGGAACCTTCTTTAGTGGCAGCGAGATGATCACTCTCCGTACCTGTGTGGGCGAAAAACGATACACGGGGTGCGCTCTCGACCTCTTCGACGCGGCCAGGGGAGACGGGGTTCGGCGAGAACTGCTCCTGATGGGCTTCTAGTAATTCGGCTCGCCTGACGTCGTCGTAGATGTAGATGCCGCCGCGGTCGCGCAGGGGGTTTATGGGCGTGAGTCCTGTAAAGGCTGCGGCAAAATCCATAGAGCTCCTGCTACAGATTGGCTTCCCCGAGGATCCCCTCGCAGGTCTGCTTATGATGTTTGGCCAGCTCCACCTTGACGTGGTCAGTCGTCCGGTAGAGTTTGGAGCCTGTAGGTATTTATCAAATCTAGCTATATATTTCTGTGGCATTGTATTTAGTATTGCGTTTTACACATACACCACGCAATCTGTTGACGAATAATTAAAAACGAAACGATCAATCTAGAATACCAATAATAACCTCTATCTGCGGAAGCTATGTACAATAGAGCAATGTACCTACTACAGTTTTATAGAAGGCAAAAATATCTACAAAGACCGTGATTTATATCTAATTATTAAACGTTTAATAAAATTCAGTATTGGTAGCGGCCTAAGCGCATAGAATATGATTGTATGCCAAGTTGAGTCTAGACTTTGCGTCTAGAATTAATGATTTGTTCTTGCTTCCCTTCCCCCCTTGAGACACCTCTTAGATATGTAATATGCATAGTTTTTAGCGACTTTTCTCTTATACGATAATACCCATCTCTATTCAGACTCAGGCCTTCTGCACATCGTATCTTATTTCGTCCATATAATGCGCAGTGGCCAATAAAACTGACCAACCAGATGGATCGATCAAGTGAAAACCGGTGGAAACGGATATTCCGTTCTAGATGCTTCGTTGCTGACCACGACGCTCAGACATGAGCTGCCGATTAAAGAGAGAGAGAACATTTTCTCTCTCTCTTTAATCGGCTCAAAGCATTTACAATTTTTCTTATTTCATTGGTCTAAAACAGTGTTCCTCAATGCGTGGCCCATGCCCCAAACGCCAATTTGATTGTTAAGGACTGGATATAAACAAATTGGACCTAATATAAAATCTCTGTGCAGCAAGGATCTCACTTAATTAATATATATTAAAATAACAAAAATTCATATAAATTATATGGTATTGAATTTCAGTTTTTGAAAATTTACTTCCTGTGTTTCGTTTACAATTTCCTAGTGATTATAATTTAAGTTTGTAATGGGAACAATTCAATTTTTGGTGAATTGGTCGATTCGCGGCCTTAAAACAGCTCCAATTTTTTTCTACATATTTTCATCACTCGGCAATGGTGTACCATGCAATAATGTGGTGGCGCATGCACTTTAACCCCATACAAATTAATTAAAACTACTAGATTTGTGAAATGATTGAAGAAGGTACAAATTGTTGTCTTTAACTTACCCTAACCTTACCTGACTTGATGACAAATGCCACTTTGAATAAAAAATAAACCCAACCTAAGCTAATGTAATTCACTAGGACCCACTGGTAACTGAGACAATATGATTTACATGATGAATGTAATATTATTTATTTATTCACACTTCGTTGCAGTAAAATAAAACACAATACAGAAAAATTATATGGGTTGTAAAGGGCGGCCTTATGGCTAACAAGCGATCTCTTCCCGGCAACCTGATGAGTAAAGTGCTAACCAAATGTTATATAATATAAAGGTAATACAATAAAAAAATTAATAAAACAAACTAAAAGCTATAAAGCTACACTCACGGATTCATGAATGGCGATGCAATAGAAAAGAAAGGAAATACAAGAATTACACAAGTCATGATTGATCAGGATAGGATAAGGTTAAAATATGTTTATACAGAAGAGTTTTAAAAGATGATAGAGAGGTAGTCAATTCTATGGAGTCGGGCAGCCTATTCCAAAACTTAATGGCGGAGATCCTAAATTAATCAATCTATTGGAGGCGCGTAACTAATGAACTAAACATATAGTTAGAAGGACCTGAGAATTTGAAATGATTTTTAAGATAAGAGGAAGTTTTGGTATTGAATAGAATTGACTATAGAAGTTGAATAAGATGATGACGTCACGTCTGTGTAGAATATATCGAATTAATAAATAATGTATCGAAATCATACCTGTTTACACCTGGCTGCAAAGAGGTGCGGCCAGATGCGCAATGGAAAGCTTGATTTATCTTTATGTGAATTGCCGTGATGTAGATGATATTTTATTCATAAGAGAATAACTTTTTTCACAAAAATGAATTAAAATTACTAGCGGCCAAATTTTGATAAGCAACTTGGTAGATATATATTCTCCTAATTATAAATCTCCTAATATATGAAATTCTCGTGTCACAATGTTCGTTCCCATACTCCTCCAAAATGGCTTGACCGATTCTTGTCAAATTTTTTATGCATATTCAGTAACTCTGAGAATCGGCTACTATCTATCTTTCAAACCCCTAAATTGTAGGGTGGTCCACCCCTAAATTTTTTATTTTTTAGATAACTTTTTTTGTTTCTTTTCCTAGAAATAATATACATGGCAAAACGACGTTTGCCGGGTCAGTATATACATAAAAATTTGTCTTTAGCAAATAACAGATGAATGCAATTATGCTGCAGCCGGATCTCGAAAAATAATACTTGCTCGGCTGTTCGTAAAAATACCGTATATTAATTAGGGTTCTACCACTCTATATAAAAATGAATCGCAAAATATGTTGTTAAGCTCGAAACTCGAAGGCTGGACCGCTGAAAGCGACACGGTACCATCCATTTCTCGAAGCAGTTCAGGCCATTTTATACCGATAAAGGTGTGGATAAAAATACATTAAAACCAAGCAAAAGCCTCGAAATATCTAGTCAATGTGTTAAAACATAAAAGTTGTATGTTGGTATGCACTAAAAAGGTTGGCTGAGTAATTATAGTAAGGCGATTCTTTTCACTGTTTAAACATTATGATAATAATTATTATTTTCATGTGTCTAACATGTCTCCGTCTATGGTCCGATTTTTTTTACAATTTACAGTACTTTTTTAAATAGCATGACTCTACAAATGCTTTCTACAAATGTCTCCATGTTGGTTTTTTGCTTTCATTTTTTAACCGGCTATCATTATATCCTCTCAATCACCGGTCTTCGTGTTTCTCCTTCCATTCCTTCGCTCTGTTATCTTCTTTGTACAATTTAACCTTTCTTTTAATGAGTTTATGCCATTTCAGGCTCTTGTAATTGTGGAATCCTTGAATTTTAATGATTTATTGAATTTTCAGCCAGCGGTGGGTCCCTCAGGGGCTATCGGCAAAGTGCACAAATCGGACCGAAAGATTGGGCATCGCCGTGTGGGTGAAGGAGGCGAGATTACCTATAAGAAGATTCAGTCTTCGCAGATCATGGGTTCCATACAATTGGGTAAGCGATATTTTATTGGAAAGGGGGACGGGACGCCCAAAATGGGCAGAGGAGCCCATGGACACCGACCGGGGTTTCCATGGACATCGTGGGTTATAAGGAAATAGTCACTCTTAAAGTTCCAAGTTTTCTACATCACCTATACAAGAAATGGGTCTCTTTGTACGGGTTTTGATGAAACATAGTCCCCATTATAGAACAAAGGTCAGGAGGACTGATTTTAAGTTATATCGCCCATGGAGAATGTCAGAAGGATCGCGAGTGTCGGTGTAAAGAATTTTACTAATTCTAATTGGTTCGGAAATAAAACAGTGGGCAGATGGTTCATGTTATTTAATTGAAACATGACTCTAAATCGAAGAGGGGGAAACGGGCAGAAGGCTCACCTGATGTTAAGTTCAGGACACACTTAACGTCAGAGGGCTTGCTAGTTCGTTGCCGGCAAATCACCGGCAGCGTACACGCGACTCTGGCATTGAGAGTGGGCGGTAGGTATTTGACTTGGGGTCCTACAAAGAGCTTACCAATTCGTAAAATACACTTCCGAGCCTTCTGGCATTGTCCATGGGTTCACGTTACGTTAAGCCTCGTGCCCGTTTGTCCCCTGTTATATAGAAATATTCAATACGTTTTTGAGAAAAAAATAAATTTTCTCCAAGTCCCGACTCTGAATTATACCTTACCTTTTAAATAATTTACTTGAGATACATTTATTAGCATTTGTTTCTCAACGAAAGACCGAATTTGACCTTCCAACCAAAATAGCATGTTTGCATAACGGCCTAGATATACGATAAAACTTTATAGAATTCCTGCGATTCTACCAGGCTCACACGGGCAATCATGACGCTTGAATTATATCGAAACCTTCCTCATGAATCTATCTACCTATATATCCCAATTCGCCTTAGTTGACCTGGGCGAGTATGACTCCAGAGTTTGCAGAGATCTGCATCCCTTCTTTTAGACGCAGACCTTGATACCCCCTGCTCGATCGCCTCACCAGGTCTGACCGAAGTGATACTCAATAATAAAGACTACTAATAATTCTTATATATAATATTATTTTTGTTACAGGAATCCAACACGCGATCGGGGGTTTAGCATCGAAGCCGGAACGTGATCTCCTCATGCAAGACTTCATGACGGTGGAGACAACAAACTTTCCAAGCGAAGGGTCTAACCACACGCCGGCTCATCATTACTCGGAGTTTAAGTTTAAGACATACGCCCCTATCGCGTTTAGGTACTTTCGTGATCTCTTCGGGATCCAGCCGGATGATTTTTTGGTGAGTATTGTGGGTAATGACCTAAATTGGGTGCCGTGTATGGCATCGGATTCTCTAATTGTTGCGGAAGATCTCCAAATCACCATTGGGAAAGTCACCAAAATCAGAGGGCATTTAGTAATAATAATAATAAAACCACTTTAAGTCCATCCAGGAACCATTTTTCATATTTGTTCTTATCCATGAAATTGCTAGACCAATTACACAAAATACTGCTTCATTCGTTTGTCACATTTAATTGTTACATAGGATATTAATGATACCTAATGACTGCTAGTTAAGAAGAAGCCATCATTATCTATAATTGTTTACAATTTGTATTGCAGATGTCCATGTGCAGTGCACCTCTCCGTGAACTAAGCAATCCAGGTGCTTCTGGAAGCATCTTCTACCTCACCAACGACGATGAGTTCATTATCAAGACTGTGCAGCATAAGGAGGGAGAGTTCTTGCAGAAGCTACTTCCGGGTTACTATTTGAATTTGGATCAGGTGTGTCTAAATGTTTAAATGAATGTCAAATGGCAGGATTCTGTATAAATTTTGTCCTAATTCAAATACTATATTTAAAAAATATTACTTATAAATGGTGTATATTTTTCTCATTTAGGTAGTCTTGGTTTTTAATAGTTTATTTTCTAAATCATAGAAAAAAAATCGTTAAAATTTAATAATTCTTTTTGTTGTTGTTTTAGAATCCGCGTACTCTCCTGCCGAAGTTCTTCGGTCTCTACTGTTACCAATGCAACAGTAAGAATGTCAGATTGGTGGCGATGAATAACATTCTGCCTTCATCTGTTAAATTGCATCAGAAGTATGACTTGAAGGGATCAACTTATAAGAGGAAGGTGAGTTTATATCCTGTCAACATTATTCAATAATGTCCACTCTTGCATGAACTGTGACAGATGGACGAGGGTAACGAGGTGGAAACTGGTGGCCCATTAGGGTAAGGAGAGGTCGGCTGACGAGCTTAAAGTTGGTGGGGAAGATTGGGAGAATGCTCAAGATAGAGAGATGGAGCCAGGTGGAGGAGGCTTATACTCTATAAGAGGTCCTCCTCTCCACCTCGACTCCTGGCCTTCAACAACACAGTGCTCTTTAAGGCACTTTCTGCGTGGAACCAGCTGCCAGTAGAGGTATTTCCGAACTTTAGGGCCTTTAAAGAGCGTAACAATCCCCGAAAGGTCGGCAACACCTGCTAGACCCGGGCGTTGCAGGTCAAATTGATCTGATCCTTTGAACTTGGTTCATTTGAGAACTGGCAATTTGGTTTGGTTTTGAGACTCCTTTAACAAATTAATTTATTATTATGTAAGAAGTGTGAAAAAGAAGAAAGAAGCGTTCGTTTAGTGGCTTAAGTGACTCTTAACCGTTTGGTTTGAGTTGAGGTTTGAGTTTGAAGCACGTGCACCAACGGACTTTTCTGCCTATGTATCTCTCGTACGGTGATATGTGTGTTAGGCACAGACGGTTGGTCAGAAACCTATTAGAAAATGATCACAATATCAATTCCAGGCGAGCAAATCCGAGCGCGTGAAGAACTCACCGACGTACAAAGACCTGGATTTCATGGAGCATCATACGGAGGGCATCTTCCTCGAGGCGGACACGTACACGGCACTTATTAAGACCATGCAACGGGATTGTCGGGTGTTGGAGAGTTTTAAGGTATGATTGTTATATTTCAACAGTGTCGTATGACCATATCGTACCGTGAACGCGATATGACCGTCTTACGACCGTGCCATGACCGTGCTATGGCCGTTTCATACCTGGACCGTTATAGGACCGTGCCGTGCACGGACAGTTGAAGCCTATTTGAGGACTCAACTCCGAGATCCCTAATTACATCGACAGCCTCTAAAGCAGAATTTTTAAGCTTGTATGTTGTATTGATTTTATTACTTTTCCTAGTGAATGTCATACAAAAGCATTTCGAGACATTCAAGTCCAACTTGTTACGAAGACAGTAATCCTCAAACCGATTTAAACCTTCCTGTAGGTCTAATGTATCCTGCCTGGTTGATATTAATTTCATAATTTTCATATCGTCCACATATAGTAATATTTTAGAATATTTAAAAAATGATAGTATATCGTTCACAAATAATATAAATAAGAGGGGTCCCAATAAGGAGCCCTGGGGAACACCCGAAGAAATAGACATCCAATTAGATGTATATCCTTGTAAAACGACCGCTCGTGAACGATTGTCGACGTATTGAAGCAGCGAAACAGGTCGCCGTGTATACACATGGATGTCAACTTGTTAAGCACGATCAAAACAGATTCAGAAATCTGAGGCCCAGACCTAAAGAGGTTGTAGTGCCACTGATTTTTTACTGTCCGAGTTCACCGCGAGTATTGCAGTTGAAGAATTTCTTCTAGCCAGTGTCTAGATGTTTGTACCCAAACAAACTTCCAGTCCATCTCTCTTGCGGTTTTTTTGCTTTGTTTAAAAGAGTTTTGTTTTTTGAAGTAAGGTGGTCATTCACATAAATTTTGCTTGACCCACGTAAACCCAATATATTTGGGTTTAGTAAGCCATCTTTGTTGAATTATGGACTTCGGGCTGTTCGAGTCTCGAGATGGAGTGCGGGCTACAAAGTTAAGCTGTCGCTTTGTTATATGATAATTTACTTTCGAACCAATGCTTATTACCAGGTCAAGCAGGTTCTCATTAACTGACTGTGGTATTCCTTTTACTTCTACATAACTCATTCGATTGCCATTGCTCAGCGAAATCCCTGTCTTTTTCAAGCAACCCAACTATGTTCTCTAGGGTTTTGTTTGCTTCTTTGCTTTTTTCTATGTCTAATAACCTATTTTCTATGTTAAGTAGTCGGGATCCAAACTCCTTAATAGTATTGCTGGCTTCAATCACCGTGGTTTTAAGGCCTGAGAATCCCTCTCTCATAAATTTTACCTCGTTCTCTAGTTCCTCAAAGGCTGACATTCGAGCGGTAAGAGATTTTACCTCCTCCCTTAATGTTGCTTCAGGCACAGGTGACAGTGTAGCCGGCTATTGACCACCTGTCTTGCATTTTGGACATCGCCATGTAGATTTCCGGTCACCCAGTTTACGGTAGCCTCCTTCCGTGATCCCTATGCAGTTAAAGTGATATATCAGCTTGCACGATGAGCATTGTGCACCATCACCACCAAACATTTTCTCTTTGCATTCCCGCATCTCGACATGATTAGTTTATAAAGACGAGTTTGAGAATCACTGGTTGATATTAAAGGAGCGAAACGTCCGCACACTACGCAATAGGCGATGCGACACGAGAATTTTAAGTATTAGATGATAATTAATATGACGTTTGCATACCTATTTTCAAACAAAACTTTATATCAAATAAATGTTGAGATGTTCAGCAAACGATAAACGATTCAAAGAAAATATCTTAAATACTACTTACACCTATTCACACATAATATTACTCTCGTGAGCTGTCGGTGTGTAGTCCCTTCAGCTACAATTATTGGAAATTAAAAATTAAATAATTTCAGATCATGGATTACTCTCTTCTGGTGGGAATACACAACTTGGACGAGGCCCAACGGGAGAAGACCGAAGCGAGAAAGAGGAATGACTCGCACAGCGATGACGAGGACGGGGACAAGAAGGGGCTCAATAGGACCCGGTGAGTGGGGCTGGGGGTTCAGGTTGTTTCAGTGTATGAGGTGATTTGTGTAGGCTTAACAATCAAAATCTGATTAGTTTTTGACGTATGGAAGGTATACTTAAGTGTCGACTAAGTGGTACCCTAAGAGCGGATATATATGTATACATATTTTTTTATATAAAACTAGCTGACCCTTGTTGACTACGTTGTTTTGCCATGCCATGTTGTTTGCCTATATTATTTCTAGGAAACATTTTATTCGTTCAATTAATTAACTATCTACTATAATATAAAATAGGGGTTGATCATAGAGGGGTGAAAATTAGGGGTTGTATGTATTTTTGTATGCTGCATCATAAAAAAATAAAACCAAAAAAATAATTGTTTTAAAAAAATATTTTTTTTTCTGGTGGGTTTGAAACATAGGTAGTAGCCAATTCTCAGACATACTGAATGTGCATAAAAAAATTCATAAGAATCGGTCGCGCCGTTTCGGAGGAGTATGGGAACGAACATTGTAAGACGAGAATTTTATATATTAGATACTTGTTATGTATTTTGAATTACTTATATATAGATAAAAAGTTAATTAAGTGTTTAGCTTGACAATGTCAAACTGTCAGATGTCATTGATTTGTGATACGCTGTGGATCGAGTGTTCGCTTAGGAGGTTGAAGGGAGGTCATATCTGTACACATATAAAATGTATATTTTCATGGACAGCAAGTAATTTCATGGTCCCAGCCTTATAAACTTAAGGACCTAGTATTGTATAAGTGATACCAGTGGTGTTACGGCCCCATGACCTCTCCTTTATAATAAATATAAAAAAATCGGTGGCGCTACCTTTTTACGTCTGGAATCAGGTTTCTATATATGTTTCATGATTGACAATATAATAAGCGACGACGATAAGCTCATGAGGCTTGACACATTGTCGACTTGGGCCTAAGGCACGCCGGTTTCCTAATTTATTCCTTCGTACGAGCGAGTGTTAAATGCGCACATAGGATGTCCATTGGTGCACAGCCGGCGTTCTACCTCAGAGCGTCGCACGCCGAAGACATTAGGCCAACTTCCCTTTAGACACAAATTAGTGAATACATAACAATATAATATGGAGTTCTAAGAACTAAAATATCCTTATTTGAATTAGATTTTTTAAATTTCTTTGCAATTTTTGTATAGGAAAATAGTTTTCCTCAGAATAAGTCTAAAAACCCGAATTCCTTTGGACCTATCCACTCTGCTACTTCTTAGCCCACGATTGACCGAACCTTCCCTTTGACCAGTTATACATCGGCTTCCCATCAGTTGTACTCATTTTTCCAATTTGAGTACTCCTAGTAGTCTTGACGACCAGTCACTTTCCTACTTGATCCCTTGGCGTTGTGTAGAGATGTGTTCCCTCTGCATCTTCTTCATTTACAACGAAGAGTGTTCTGAGTTGTTTGGATTCATACCGGCAGCTGGGCCATCATCGGACGTAATGACGTAATAAAGATATTTCACTGTAATTAAAATAAAATATTGACAAAATTTAACTAAATTGTCGAATTTGGTAGAAACATGGTTGCCTGGAAGACATCGCTTAGGCATTAAGGCCCATTGCACAATATTTTTGTTTATTTATTTAATTTTTGTGAAAAAAAAATATTTCAGATCTGAGCAAAGTCAGGACGAGTTCAAGGCGCAAGTGAAAAGGACACAGTACGAATTTTGTTTGTTAGCTTGTGACGTCTAACCTGGGTTTCTATATATCAATAACATTAATAATTTTATGCTAGGTAATCTCCGTTTATGTCTACGGACATTGATCGTGACAAACATGTTTTACGTATACCTATGTACATGATGTAGGTATGATTTAGAAACCTGTCTACGTAAAATTTTGAATTCTTCTGAATGTCACCCATTTGTCACAGATAAAATATTTTAGAGATTTTAGAATATCTAGTGCCTAAGTGTCAAAGGTGTCAAATATTATTTAATTTTCACGTAATTATTTGCATTTTGATGTACTTATTTGTGTTTGTTAATTATTTTTGGGGTCGAATATTGTTTTTATAATTTTTATTATTGCTTAACCTATATGGGTTTAACCATGGTTCCAAATTGGTTATAAATTTTAAATTCCTTATTATAATGATATTTCCGAACCAACTTAGGATACTTCAAATAGCGTCTCAATTCTTAAAAGGCTGGCAACGCACTCGTGAACCCTGCGGCATTAATAGTGACCATGGTCTGTAAAACCCCCCCGTCTTCCGCCCCCTGTAACTCACATCCCAAATTCAAAAAGTGGGGGGGTACACTGGTTGCAATGTTTGTCACGACACATGTTTGTTACGCTCAATTGTTCGTTGATGTAAACGGACATAATTACTATGAACCCGTTAAAAGTCGGTGCATGGAATTTGAGGCATGTTATTAACCGATTTACTATAAATACTTGTTTGTTGTGTAACTAATTGCAATTGGTTAATATTGAATACATATCTGTCTCTTTCTTTCATATTGTGTTTACGCTGTGATGGAGAGATGGATGAGTGAATTGTCTTTTTCATATAACATTTTTTTAAATTCTTTTTATGTATTAGTTTAATTTCGGAATCTAGTTCAGCTTTGAATGTCTCTATACAAAGGTTTATGCGCATTTGACGTATTTTTTTCTTCCTACTGTCTATACTAAAAATCTAGGATTAGTAATTGTCCCATGTCCCAGTGTGGGGTATGAGGCACAATTTTTTTTCTTGTCTTAATAGAACCCTTATTAAAGTTGCATGAAAATAGATATGGGGAATGGGACAAAGCTCATGTAAACCACATATGACATTGTCTTTATGAAAAGGAGTATTGTAGTGAAAGTTAAGTCCCATTTTGAAAGATGTGGCATGGGACGATACATGTTACAGACAAACTGAGCTTATAGGAGTAGGAAATTTCCCTTAAAAGCATGAATGGCGTCCCATAGTCCGTGATGGGCCATGGGGCAGATATATATGTATATATAGAATTTCTCTATATATCATTAACAGTAGATCCGTTAGAGCTTAAAATTTTTGGTAACCCTAGTAAAATTCCATACCATTGGGGTTTGGGACATTAGTCCCATTTAATAACTCTAGCATGTTACTAAACTAACAATGTGATTCTAAGGCCCGTATTCTAAAAGTCAACTAAACTTAAATCTGGTTTCAATGGCTGTCAAAGTTTTTACAATTTTGCATATTTGGCAGCGCTCAAGACGAAACCGTGACTTGAGTAACGAATTAGAATATGAGCCTAAGTGTCAGTCGCTTCTTATATCTGTCAAAAATGGTTTTCAACAGATATAAGCACTTAGCGCAGTCTCTCCTTTCTTTTCTTTTCGAAATATATAGTTTTTACATTTGGAAGGTAGCGATTGTAGAATCTTAACTTATTAGCTGTCTTAACAAATTCAATTTACGTCATATCAAACTTAGCGCGAGTGACAGATAACTGACGTCAAAAATATAAGTACATAATCACAGTCATTTGTCATAAAGTCATAACGCTAAGTCTCGACTCTGAGTTCCAAGTGGAATTAAAGCCTCATATTGGGGTCTCTTCAAACATTCCAGGTCTATAAATCGTCAAAGACTCGTCGCACACTCCACGGCCATGGAGAGCATCCAGGCGGAGAGCGAACCCATTGATGAAGAAGAGGATGTGCCGTAAGATATTTTTAACAAAAACTATATTTAAATTATTATTATCTTGTAAGAGAATTCTTTCCCAGGTTTCCCCAGGAAATCTACCTTCTCCTTTTCCCCTCATAGGCTAGTAAATGATCAGGTAGGTCTTAGCTTTAGATTTCTGTTTTGTAATCTCCTTACAAGGGTCAGGCCTATGTCCAGTAGTGGCGGACAACTGCTGGAAATATGCCTAGACTGAAACGATTCTCCTAAAAGGCAAGTAGGTGATCATCTTTTATGACCTGAACACCCTTGACAACCAGCTGTCGAGAACCTTGACCAGTGGCGCTACAATCTAAGTCTGGGTTTTATTGTTTCATGAGGCAAGTAGGTGATCAGCCTTTGCCTGATTAGGTCTAATGTTACGATGTTTTCCTATCCATTGTCTTTTCGCTTAGGGATGATCTCATATCCCTGGAAGCAACCATGAAAAGTCAAGAACTTGCTGGACAGGAGTATTCCTAGTTAGTTCATTACAATTATTAGAAATTTCTATCTTCCTTGGATATCATACCGTCTTTCTACAGCGTCCTAAAATCTGGTATAGTAAGATCTCTTGCCCATCCTTGTTACACATCTAGAAAGATCACTTCAGTATATTCACCAAAGGGCTAGAACCGGTCCCGAAAACGGCCTGAAAAGATTTTTAAGTCTCCTGAAAGCATCAGGGTGTCTCGAAATGGTCATGAATCACACTTCAGCTGCTGAACATCTCTAAGTTGAAGAAGTCTTCGTAACACTAATTATTATTTTGGCAGACCTGGTGGTATTCCGGCAAGAAACGCGCGTGGAGAGCGTCTCCTACTGTTTATTGGTATCATTGACATCCTCCAGTCTTACAGACTCAGGAAGAAACTAGAGCACACGTGGAAGAGCATGATACATGATGGGGTGAGTCGATTTTTGTCATAAATTAATATTACTATTCATTCTCATTTATCATTATTATGCACACATTATGCTAATCAGACATCATCTTCATTTAATTCGAATATAGGAATACATCCTTGTGATATGAGAATTCTCGTCAAGAACAGGTTTCTTGCGTCGGCTAACTGTGGAGCGTCAATGTTGAAATTAGTTTGTGACATTTTACATACAATTTTAATGGTTATAATGTTATAGTGTATATGTCACTGCCTTAGTATATAAGTTAGTTATTTAAATATGTTCGACGTCCTGGTGGACAGAAAAACTATGTCCAGTTTGTGTTTCCACCACACCAACTTATTTTCTATTTAAGATCATGTATATATAATAAATAAATAAATAAAAACTGTCATTTACAATTATTAAATGTCATTAATCATTAATTTGCGTTGATAATAATTCACTATGTTCCATGCTCATTTATTTTTTCTTAATAATATGATCAGCCAGTGCCTGATTGGGTACGAGAAGTTTTTGCGGATATGAAAGCGTGTTTGAACGCACAACCTTTAACCCTAACTCCTTTTAAAATTTCCCATTTTTTAATTTTTAATTATCTAAAATGATTCCAGGATACAGTCTCAGTGCACAGACCAAGCTTCTACGCTCAGCGGTTTCTAGATTTCATGGCAAAGACGGTTTTCAAGAAGATACCTTCGTGTAAGTATTTTCAAAAATAAAAAATAAAAATTGGAGTCTAAGCTTTCTTTTTTCCAAATTCTTTACTCTTGTAGATTGTAAAGCTCGTGAAAATGAAATTTTGAAAAAAATTAATAAATGTGGAAAAATTTCATTTTTGTCATGTAGTTAAGCTGTCATCGCAATTAATAATTGTGTGTTAAATGTTAGTTTTAAGTGATATGGTACCATTTTCCTGTTAAAATACTATTAAATTAACTTCGAAACTATAATTAAACAGTAGTCTAATTTTACTCATGATTATCTTTCAAGTTAGTCGGGGAACGCGATAATAACTGACCAAAAAACAAGACCGGGTTTTAAATTAAACAGGCGCCACCTAGTGGTTGGTTTTAACACTACTTTTACTAATAATCGAACTTCGAACCGATACGACGTAGGGTCCTTCGAGTAAAAATCGTACCATTCTGATAGGTCGTCAACTCATCCTCTAGCCCCTGACTCTGCAGGTGTCTTAATATAAATATAGGCGGCGGCTATCACTCTTTAAACTTTAAAGTTGTTAGTGGAAAATAATTCGTTTACAAGTAGTTTTGATACCGCGCGATTGGACCAGCAGCGCCATCTCTTGGAAGTAACAAACAACTATAAAACACGACTTATTTGTTTGACAATGAAACAAAATGGTACCATATATCTAATAATATGTATCATGTTCAGTGGACCTTCCGGAAATCAAGGGAAATCATCGCAAGTTCAGAACGCTGGTCACCAGTTATATAGGTACTGTGGGGTGTGATTTACTTCGGAGATTGCTTCCGAAAAGCCACTTTACGAATCAAATGGATGTTCCTCTTAATCATTCCATTGGGGTCTGTTCTTTCCATCAATTTCCCACGTTTTTACTACAGGTATCCTCCAGGGTGGTTTTGACGGGCCATCTTTTATCTGTGCATCGCAATTTCCTAAATAATAATCAGCTAAGTCTAAGTTCCAAGGAAATATTTATTGTATAAAACAGTAGAACTTTATAGTGGAGAATAAAAAGCCTGGACCAGCAGTGGGTTGAGGAATTGATAGTTCCTATATTTCGCATAAACAATAAGAACTAACTTTTTCTATAAATTCCTGTTCAGATTGAGATTTGTTGATGGCATTTTTCGGGAGCGGTCTCTTTACACCTATTATATAGAATGGACCGATTTTTATTGTTAATTTTAACTGTTTAAAGATTTTATAGATATTTTACAGCGTTACGTAAGTGTACAGCGTAACACAAAAGTACAGCGTAGAGCAAAAGTACAGCACAACGTGAGTGTACAGCATAACGTAAGTGTACTGCGTAACACAAAAGTATAGCGTAATGCAAAAGTACAGCAAAACGTGAGTGTACAGCATATCGTAAGTGTACAGTGTAACGCAACGATGAAATTATGCGAGTACAAACATCATAACTTAATCTTAAACAGAAAAACGTCTACGCTTTGGTGAAGAAACAATAAACAAATATCAAATAGAATCTGTCCATTCTATATCCTTAGAGATAGGACTAAATTATTAGCAAGATTTTAAATTTTCTTGATTAGGCCGCATCTCACTTGACGACAGCTGGTATTTTGGATAAATGTCTGCCCAGTTCTATTTAAAAAAACTGAAGTTCCTGTGAAAGATGACATTTAAAAATATGTGTTATGAAATTAAATATATAGCATATTAGTTAATAAATTTCAATGAAAGTCAATGGTCTCATTTCACTTGTCAAATGATTTTTTTCAGACGCATATAGACTATGTAGTTATAGATTTGAAATTATTTTTTGAATTTTCAAGGAATTTGTGGACGTTTAACGGTTGAATTAATAACCTCCTTTTTGAAGTCAGTTGAAAAGTGATTTGAACGAAAATTTGAAATCTTGCTAAATAGAGCCAGCTGGGTTACTCTACAATCTTCACGATTTGTTAGGAAACGTAAATTCAAGACCTAAATATGGCGAATTCTAGTTTCAAGTGTTGTCAAAGTGTGAAGACTTTGAACGGGATTGACGTAGTAACCCTGCTAGTATTTTTTTCTGTATTTTGCATAATTTCCTAAAAAAATTGTATTTTTTCGTATTACAAAAGTTATATTAAAAAATGTATGAAAAAAATATAGATTTTATAAAAATTCCGTCAGCAGAATTACGTAAATATGACCATATTTGTTCTGTGAGGTCTATATTGGGGTTTTTGTTTGAATAGGCTATTTGATAGGATTTTAAATACTATTTTTAGATTTATTACTAGAACACGGTCCAATGACAGTGATAGTACGACACGGTCATAAGGCCATTGTACACTTTCCATATCAAATAGCCTTTAATAAATAGTAAGTAATAAAAATGGAAACTTTTTTCCCTCAATAAAAATTATAAGAAAATACAATACCTGTTCTAGTTGAGTGTTGATGCGTTAATGATGTTATCTGAAAAATTCCAGACGTTTCGAAATACTGATCGTATTTGCTACGAAATGTTTCTATATCTGAGCAAATGAGAATTCCAAAAATTTTAATAATTTTTATACAGTTTTTGTTTCTTGAATCTTGTTTTATATAAAAATATAAGCCTAATAGTAAAAATAATTAAAATCAAAATTAATATTTGTTTATTTAGGTGTGTGGATAGGAAACTTAGATACTTGAAGCGAAGCTTACCGACAACGCACTTGCGAGCCTTTTGGTAGTGTTTATGATATCACTTAACATTTAATAAAGAAAGAAAAAATTTAAAGAAAATAAGCAAAAATACAAAAAATATAAGTATTTTTAGTTTTGCACCAATACACGACTTTTTTTTTCTCGGATTTTTTTGCAATTTAATCTCGCATGGTTTATATTGTTTGTCTTAGACATTTTCTAAAATGTTTTCTTTTTGAAAATGATTTTTAGATTATTTTTCCTGATGGAGCGTTTTTAGACATTTTTGAATACACCCTTCTAATAGTAAACACTTAAGAATAGACAATTTTTTATTAAGAAATATCTTTTTTTGTTCGCAAAAAATGTTATCGTAAACATTTTTTAAAAAGATGTTTTTTTTTAGAAAATAATTTTTTAGATCATTACAAGGCTTAAGGACCATTTTTAATTAAGATATGTGTTGCTATGTAAAAATAATGTTTTTCTTTTCCTATTCAACTGTCCGTAAATGGATTGGCGCTGTCATTGGAGGTCTAAGTAAGTCAGGGTTGTGTATTTTGGCATGGTGTCTGTCAAAATTGTTATAATGTTGATAAAAAATATGTTTTTTAACCAAATATGTTGAAATTTCTGTATCTTCTATAAGAAATATTAACTTTGTTTAAATTTAAAGCGTTCAATATTGACTGAATGGTGGTAAGGTAGAAATAGTTTAGATATCATTATAACAATTTAGAAAAGCCGACTACAGGTTCAAAATGTTTATTTGTAATGAAATTTTTAATGTCTTGGTGTCGGTTGCGCGCTAGATTTTCTATTCTTTCAGCTTCGAAGCATGACTGTGGATTTCTTTTGTAAAAACATGTTTTTCTAAATTTCCTTTTTTCTACAAAAATTTTTTTCTTCAAAAGAATGTTGTTTTCTACAAATTATTTGTTCAAAAAATCATTTTTCTACATTTTTTTTCTTAAAACTTTTTTCTATTATATTTCCTAAAAAATGTTTTGTCCCCTACAACAGTACTTTTTATTATAAATGTCAATTTTTTTTTTAATTTCCCCTTTTTTGCGATACGTTTAGCATTTTTTTGGTGTGTGTCATATTTTATTTGCAATTTCGCATTATATTAGCGACTGAATTATTTGTAGCTTGCAATGGCGATACCAACGCCCGCGATTCCAAGATCGCTATTAAAGTATTCGACATTGGAATCGCTATTGGAAGTGATTATAACAATTCATTACCGCCTTTTGAGTTGCAAAGCGATCTTAAAGATCATTCATTGACGCTATTATTTTAGCTTCTAACGTACACAGAAATGCTAGCCTTACCAAATACAACCTAAAAGGCCGGCAACGCATCCGGTAAATCGTTTGCGGCCTAACTATTTAGGGTTAAAACAGTTATTTTTTATTAATTAAAGTTTTTAGTTTTATTAAGTCTTAATTACTAGAAAATGTATTGAATGGATTGAAGACCGTTGCCATGGCAACAAAGGCTTTTTATTGAAGTACTTTCAAATGATTTTCAGCACTGAAACACTCGCCGTCGAAGAGGAAAAGCATCGCGAGGCCAGCCAGAGCCATCGAGGAAGTCGACACGCCAGGTTAGTACGGGATTCAAAATACGGGTAGATTAAACAAATTTTGATGGTACCTGCAAGTTTACCTCAACAGTGAGTTAATTAGATAAAAAAAACACTTCTTCACATCCGCGTGCGCATGTTTATATTTCATTCCCTAAATGAATTGAGATTGACATGAGCATGTTTAGATTTTTAAAAATTCTAAAGTTATTTGAAACAGTCTACCTAATTGGTCATTCGGTTTTTTAAATAATAAATATTATTTTAACGTTAATCTGTTTATTATAGTAGTTTAAAAAAAATAGATAATGTCAAAAAATATAGAAAATGTCAATAAGTGTTTTAGAAAATGTCAAAAGGTAATAGAAAGTGCCAAACAGACAGTTTATAGAAAAGGCACACATTCCAGTAAAAACCTTTATTATATATAAAGGTTTACCTTTATTATATATATGTTTTCTAGTAATGCAACAAATCTTGTATCACTGAAATCGCTGGGGTAAGCTTGCAGGTTTCAATCGTAGCCAAAACTAATCGTAATGTGGATATAGAAATCGGATAGAATATTGCATTCATCATATTGTAACTTGTGTGATTGGGCCGATTGTCTCTCTCGTTCATTATGAAAGTGAATGGGAAAACAATATGTTTTATACATACATGTGTAAAGAAAGAGATTGTCTCACTTCTTCATTACGAATATGCGTGAGACGACGGATTTACGTTAAATTACCTAACGTGATTCTGTGAGACCGTTGTCTCTTTTGAATGTTTGAATTGAGACTTTTTGTTGGACAATTTGTTGCTAGTTCTGTAAGAATGAGTGTATAGTATTCTTTAGATAAAAGTTCGTAATATACAAATTGCTCTACCCTAGTACCTCTGCCAAGTAATGCATCTCTTTTCCTCTTTACGTAAAAGTGTGGGACAACAATCCTTTTGAATTGAATCCTATCTGTCCTGAATTTATATGCCTGTCTCGCTCAATCTGTACGAATGTGAGAGAGACAGCTGTATATACCTTAGTATTAAGGATAACGTAATTGTGTGAGATAAATCCTCTATTTCCTCTACTCTTGAAGTATTAACCTTGTTTAAGAACATGCCTTTTAAGTTCAACAAACTTCGTATGAGGGAGAATTACTCCATCTCCCTCTTTACCTTATAGTGTGAATGAGACGACAATATTTTCATCAATTCATTCATATCTCGCTCAAAACTTTTGAGTGATATCATTTAAAGTGTATTTTTATTACGAAATAATATTCAATTCGCTACTAGATTTGTTATAGGCCTTCAATGCGCTGAGCCAGGCAACTATAGGAGACAATATAGAAAGATAGGATTTAGAGTAGGAATATAAATGAATATGATTAAAAGACTGAACCACTTCGAGTAATTTTATTCCTTGAACTCTAAGGAAGGCTTTTATGGACTGAAAAGTCTCTTTGGGGTAGCATAGCAAAATGTACTAAAAAGGTAGGTCAAGTAAAAGTAGATTAAGGCGAATCGAAGTTCGTGGTGGCTGGAACTATGAGGAAGATTTTATGAAGAGAAAATTGACCTTGCATGGAAATATATAAAAAACCAGGCTCTATGGGGTAGCATAGCAAAATGTTCCATATGTATGTACTAAAATGGTAGGCCAAGTAAATCATATTAAGGCGAAACGATGGGCTGGGGCAGCTATTTAAATTCTAAGTCGGTTTAAAGTTAGATCGTTAGATGCACAGGAGTTTTTGTAAGAGTTTTAAAGTCTTTAGTAGCGAATTGTGCCTTTATTAGCGTGGATTACAAAATCTTTTTGGACCAATCAAGCTAAAAGGTAATTATCGTATTTAGTTATTGCATGTTAGCATGACAAGTGATAAAAATACACTTTATGTAGTTTAAATGTCATCCCTACTTATACATTTCAGTTTAATCCCAAACCCAATCCTTTAGTGCGATTTAGAAAAGAATTGCCGCTATGTTTGTTTGTTTATCTTTGAACTTGATGCTCCTGTTCTTATTTGAATCGCATATATTTTTGTTTTTGAATTATCCGTTTTTGCCGCGTTAAGTGTTGTGAAGTGTTTGTGGACTGGTGTTATATAAACTGAAATGTATGAGGCCCAATGAGGAACCTAGAATACACCTAACCTTTCTTACGCAGGACGACTGTACGTACGACCGATCAAGGATTATAATCCGGACTTTATGAGAATCAGATCGCCTAGGTCTTCCGTGAGATCTAGTTTGAGCGATTTTACAGATACGACGATATCGACGTACCAAAGACAACAAATCACAACCGAATATCCATCAGTTTTATCCGATAGATTAAAAATTGATAGACCGTTCAGACGAATTGATTTTGACCCGAACTTACAAATTCGTGAACCTGGGACTTCTTATGATGAAAATATGTATAGAATTAGAGAAATGGACACGTTGTCTGACCAGCTGACTAAAGTCTTAAGTACCGGAGCGGGTAGTTCCCATATAAACGGTAGTTTGGCTGATAGTGGTATACAAACAGACAATACTAGTACAAGCGTACCACAGATATATATTGAATCACACTCGGTGAAAACAGTTAAAGATGCAGCGGTGGATACGAGAAATGATAATAATCTCCAAGATATACCATTTATAGATGAAGAAGAATTTGATAAGAAACGTTTTGTTTTAGAGAAACATAAAAGTACTTCGAATATTCCAGAGATAATAGAAACCGAGAATGAGAGGCTGTCTATGAGTCTCAATAGGGCGAAATCCCCGACGTTTGTGGAGAAATTTAAAAAGTTTTTTATGGATATAGGACTGGTGAAGTCCGAAAGTACGCCAAATACAGATGTTCAGGCAAATACATTGCCCAAGTCAAGTGAACATACAAGAAGTGTTTCGCCAAATACTTTTGAACCAAGAGAGTCTTCGACTTTACCGAAAGATATGAGGTTTCGTAAAGTAAGATCAACACAAACAGTCTATATTAAACCAGAATCTCCATTACCGGAAATACCTAAGGAAACAGAAGTAACTAGACCAGAACACGTGTCTGTGGTTAAGTTAAATGGCGATGAATATATAAAAGATTCTGAATCTGAGAGAGTTATTAAGGAAGTAATCTATGTAAAAAGTTTGGATAAATCCGCAATTTATTCCGGCAAAGATAGTGGGAGTACTATCATCTTTGTTCCGCCGGCGGACTGATAGAATGAAGGACATGCTCGCCTAATCACTAGGGAGACTTCCGTGTCTGACCCCTTCTATTGCCACCTTGGAGAAGGAAATTACAAAGCCAGTGACACAAATTAATCTTATATCAATACTATTTATTGTACGTGAAGACTTGTACGCCTAACCGCTTTTGCGTCTATATTATATCTACTTATTCAAAGCTATATATTTTTCTGCTTCAAAAAAGTTGCGACTATTAGAGATACGGACTCGAATGCCTCACATCTTTGTGGGTAGGCGTTCAAGACTAGCTAAGGTATTATAGAAAATTGTGTATTCGATATTTTAAGTAGTTGACTTGTATTGTCAAAATTATTATGTAATATATTTTTTACTTGTATTCACATATAGAAGCGATGGGGCAGGACCCGTTTCGACACAAATGTCTGCAATTATATTTCAATTAATTGGCTTTATACTTAAGTATTTATTTTGACACTTTTCGATAATGGATTGCGGCACATGTTTTCAAGTATCTGAAATTAATAAATTATGCTGAAAAGAAATCAACAAGATTTCCTACTAGAGAAATACAGATTTCCTAGCATATCCTCATCTGACTAATGGCCATGGACTCTCAATTCTCGTGAGTGCGTTCCAATATTTTATGCTCTTAAAAGACCCTAAGAAATGATATATTTGGTACTCTGTAACTTCCAACGATTCTGACGTTTTGATATTCTCTTAATATCAGCAGACCCAACCTTGGGTTCGTACAAAAACTCATTAGGACAAATGGTCTAAAAAAATAATTTCTTGAAGAGCTAAATTCTAAACCATTCGATTCGCATATGACACCGCTGAAAAGCGAGATTGTGATTTGTATAACCTTTGGGCCTAAGTCGCTCAAAACTTCTTGGGTCAGCGTACCTGATAAGAGAGTCTGACGGCTTTGCTTTCCAGCAATGCTGTTATCTTCTTATAGTGCCAATTTTAACATTTAAAATTATAAAGGAGACCTCCGAAGGTTGGCATACATCAGGGCTACTTTAATTTTGTATGCCGCGCTTCTGAACAATTAATTGGTGCTTTGACCAAACGATTGTCAAGGTTTTTCAAACGAAGCGTGCGTCTGCGGCCAGGTCTCCTTCTTTCTACCTGCCACTTTGCCTTTATCATTAGTTGAAGGAGCTGCTTTCCATTGTCGAAATTGCTTTATCGCATGAGATTTATTTCTGTTACCTTGATCACAAAGAATTTATTATAAATTTATTTAAGTAGATTAGGTACGTAGAAGTATTTTATTTAAAATTGTAGTTCATAGCTGATTTATTTATTTATCTTAAAGTATGATAATGGCCCCGAAAATCTGGTTTTTTGTTATATAAAATCAACTTATATTTTAATAAAGTTGATACATTAAAATTAAAAATGTTCGCTTATATAAAATACATGTCCAGCGTGGCTGTGAAACTCCATTCATTTCAACAATATTATTATATAATTTAAAATAATTCCAGTTAGTTCATTCACACATACTGACTCCGTTGGCTCTGCTACCCAAGTGTCTTGTTCGAAACGAGAAACTTCCAGGATGTCTTGTGCTACCGCCGTCAATTACTGGATTAATTATTTCTTTCATATACAGTTATTCTGCTTTTTTGTCTTTTGGCCTAGTGGCTTCAGAGATTTGTCCCATTTAACACTCTCGTTGGAGGGAAAATAATACCGGCATTAGACCCGATCCGCCATTAGCTGATCCAACGTAGTCAATGGCCGATAGGTATTTCCGAACCAATATGACTTGGGCTGCACCAAACCTTAAAAGCACTTGCAAGCCTTCTGGCCGTCCATGGGTGGTATTACTTAACATCAGATGAGCCTCCAACCTGTTTGCCCAGTTATATAAAAAAAATATTTTTTTTTGCTATGAATATTGTGTTTTACTTATGGTATAAAGAAATTTTTGTGGCCATTTTCTGACAGTTAAATATACCAAAAAGACAGCATTGTAAATTCTGACTTGTCAGATGTTGTTGATATTATGTGATGTAAAGTGTAAATGTTATTAAATGAGATTTTAATTGATTTTTGTTTCTTTTTAAAAAAACCTTGTCAATACGCGATTGCGTAGTAAAGTTAGGAAACAATAAATTACCTAAATATTATTTGAGGAATATTAATAATCCTTATTTGGACATTACACTATTAAATACATTTGTAAAGTATCTTGACCGTATTCAACGTAGAGCGGTTCGAATCCATCGACCAATGAGTTTCGTTATTGTTGGATTATCATCCTGCATTTACCACGGAGTGTTAGGTGTTCTGATTAATACCTGCAGCTGAGTTTCAACATAGGACGTCCGTTGTTCCACAATGTAAGGCAGTGGGCACAACCATTTTATGGAACCAGCTGCCCACTGAAGTAATTCCGTCCCGATTCTTAAGGAGAGACTTGAAGCCCTCTGGCAATGAGTGTCTATGGGCGACTGATCACTTAACATCAGCTCAATCTCCTTCCCGTAACAGAAAAATAATATTAACCCTTCATTTTGTGACACTTGATATAATCGCTTTAATAATCTACCTACACACACAGTTTAAAGCTTTCTAATATTCAGTTTGATTTTGCAAGATCACAGTCACACTCTCAAATACATAATTTACGCACACACGCATAAATATTTATACATTGACGCATACTCACACGTGGTGTATGGTGTAATATTGTTACCCACAACACAGGCGCCATATTTTTGTCATGAATAAAGTTTCATTATTATTATAAGACGTATGTCGCTGTGGAGAAACTCTGGGCATCGACTATTGGAACATTCAGCATTCCGTGGTGGACGCAAAGGCTGCCCTTCGTGAATACGAATAGGAGGGTACAACTCTGCGTTGAAAAACCTTAAATCTGGTCCGAACCAATTCGACTTAGAGGCCTTCATGAAAAGAGCGTACCAATCCTTAAAAAGGCCGGGCCGGCAACGCAATGTAATATTGATTAGTGTGACATCGCCAGTGTGCTTTCACCAAATGCCCTAATATTCCGATAAAATTAATTAAAAACTGGTGAATGCTCAGTTTATGGTATATTGCTTTACAGTTTATCTTACAGCTAGCTGTACAGTAAAATAAGTTCTTAAGCGGGATGAAAGGTCATTGACCGATTCTCGGGTCATTGACCTATACCCGCTCGGTAGTTACTCAAGTAATGTAATTCGAACTAATTTACTATAATATCTACATACAATTTCATGCTTGCCTCGGATAGGAGCAGCTAGTTCCAGTGGATTTAACAAAACAGGTGAGAACAAAAAACCATTTTGAATAATGTAGATAATGGCAAACGATGGCAATGACATATAGGTATTGCATATTGTTTTCTCATAAGCTATGATTGGAGTTTGACGTGTTTAGTGATTGTGTTAAATTGTGTAAAGTAACAACTTTAGCCATAACAATCTATCGTTTCGTCTTTCGTTCTGCGTTCTCAGTAATTTTATAGGAGTTAGGATAGGATAAGAAACGCTTTTAATAATATAAACTAATGTTCGTCAATCTTTGTTCCATGCTTCGACTTTCGGATCTTATTGGTATAATTTATTTTCATTATCTATCTCTCTCGCACCAATAACAAAAACGACGGTCAAGCCCAACTTAAAAAACACAAATACAAACACGCCATTTTGGATTTCTAATCTGCGAAATATACGCTTTTATCTGTGCCCGCGTTTCATTTCAAAAGTGTCACTGACAGATGTCACAGCGCAAATAACACCGACGTCGGTCACGTCGCCCGTTGTGTCAACTGTCAAACTGGCCAAAATGGAGCCGGACGCCTTCCCCGCGGTACTTAAAGGTACCAAACAGAGAGTACCGCCTCCCGTCCCTCCTAGGGGTTCTCCTAAAGGGAAACGTGGCGGTCATCAGCCGACGTTTGATGCCAAAGGTGACTTTTTTGACGACGATCTTTATCGGCATGATTTTAACGATATTGCATGCCACGCTTTAGACCTTAAATTAGATTTAGATGCTGTAAAGCCGCCAAATTTATTTGCCCAATCGAATATGATGGCCAAATTCGACATGAAAGATGCTATGGACAACTTGGATGGTGAGTTTGATGACAAATCCTTCACCGATTCGAGTGAAGATGAGATTATTATAGAGGAAATCAAAGATATCAAATACAAGACAATTAAAGATACAACGGCAAAGAAAAGTCGCTATCCGTTTCTTAAGAAATTCGGAAAGAAGACACCGACTCCAGTTAAAATTGTCCAAGTTGAAGAATATATGTCTGAATCTGAAGACGAAAGGACAGTTAAACCACCAGAAATGCCCACCAAAAAGCCAGAAACGCCTGAAAAGGTGTACGAGAGAGAAGTACACGACCCAGTTGATATAATTGAAAAGAGAGAGAACAGAGAACAGCCAAGAATAATGCAGAGTATGTCCGATGTAGATGTTATTGAGCCGCCACAAGAACGAGAGGCAGTTAAGGTAGAAAATATACAACTAAATGATGAAAAACCCGAAAAAAACAAAAAAAATATGAAGGGGCTATCAAAAAAATTCATATTCACACAATCCAAGAAAGAAAGGAAGATTAAACCAAACATAGAAATAAAGACCTACACAGAAGAACACGGACAGAGGTCACAAGAAGAAGCGATATGCCACGAGAAAGCCAAGACCCAAATTGATATGTTTCAGAACATTTTGAAGTCTGAAACCAGTTCAATAGCTTCAAGGATCGAGAAACCAAAAAAACGACCAGCACCCAAACCGCCAATCCAGCTCCAAGTACCGAATGTTACAGATAAAATCCGAAAGTTTTCAGTCACAGTGGTCCCGGAAAGCCGTCCGAGACATTTTGGCGAAATCAAAAAGACCAGTTTGAGGAGATCCAATCGAAGGATACTTCGTATGATGAAGGAATTTGAGATAGAATTGTAATTGGCTTAATAAATATTTTTGTCTGTTTTTTATTTTATTACTAAGCATGTCCTTGGTTATAGTTTTGAATGTTTGATATTTAACTAGCCAATCACCACTAAAAGCACTTTCGAGATCGACCCGCAAAGTTTCGTCTAGTTTTTTGTTTTATCTACAACATCATTAATATACTTTTTCTCATAGACAATGCACAACGAGCTTTAAAAAACTGCATGCTGTTTGTCTTGTGTCTATGTCTCAGACCTGATAGGTCCCTTTACGTTGTCTCTTAGGAACAAAGATGTCCACAGATTTTTACTTCATGACCGATTTAATATCCAGCGTCTTTAATAGTCTTTTCTCATAGACAATGCACAATGTTACTCTGTTATCTTTGAGCTTTAAAAGACTTTGCACGCTGTTTGTCTTGTGAGAGCAGTGTTGGCCTAGTAGCTTCAGCGTGCTACTCTCATTCCTTAAGGTCGTAGAAGCCCGGCTGTGCACCAATGGATTGTCTATAATATCCGCATTAAACAATTTTTGAAACCGGCTTGCCTTAGACCCATCAAGACGGCGTGTGACAGACACTCTGATCCCCTACTTGTCTATTAGATTAACAAATCATTAAACATACCTATACATAAATCTGAGGCCCAGACAAAAAAGGTTGCACCACTGATTTATTTATATTTCCTACCAGTTTTTAAATTCACCAAAACTTGCCTCACACTCACTGGCCCCTTAACGTAAAATAATTAAAATTCATTCCTTGAAACATTCGTCTATCATACACAAGGACCAAGGACCTCTTATAGAGAATAGACCTCTAACTGGCACCATCTTTCTCTATCTTGAGCATTCTCCCAATCTTCCCAACTTTGAGCTCGTTAGCCTACAACTGCAAGGGGGCGACTTCTCCCTCTTTTCCCCGGTGGCCCTTACCACATTATTACCATTGTCTATCTGCCATTGTTCAAGCGAGCGTTGTGGCCCTATCTTATTGTTTTCTTTCTTACTTCTGTACTGTCTTCTTTCTTTAGTTTTAAATGCAATATTGTCGTCCATTAAAACAAACAAACAAAAGTCAAACGTTATATATGCAAATATCACAGCTAAATAACGTGAAAATGGCGGCGCTTCCCCATCCACCGCTTCGTCACAGTTCTCGCTTGCAATAATTTTTGATGCTTATTTATTATTATTAGTATTTATAGAATAGTGGGGTAAACGGGACGCACAAAAAGGGCGGTCATCGCAGCCTTTGACACCCTCTTTTACTGAGTGCATTGCCGTCGTTTGAGGAAGGAGTATACTCTTACTTAACTGTCCAATGGCATACTATAATGATTCAGAGGATGAATTCAAAGCACTGCTAGACTGTATCCCCGTTGTTAGGTTTGTTGGACGTATGTTAGCAGATGACGAGACCAATTCACAACAAAAAGTTATATATGCTTTTCCCAAGTTCAACTTCAATATTAAATAGATTAGTTTATGAACTTAAATTAGTTTAGGTTATCACTTCTGTCGGGCTTTCCGTGAGGCACACATTTTTTAAAATTATAAATTTCGTAATATCCCCGACTCTTGTGGTGGGTCTTATTTTGTACATATATTTTGTCAAGATATGTCCTATATATTCATAGTTTCGCTATGTTTTTATAGTTAAGAGCTTAAAGGTATTAAAAACGTTTAAAAATAAATACTCTATTCAAAAACACTGTCCAATGAAATTGTTCTTTTATTTATGCCAGCCATTGGTCTTAGTAAATAATACGCTATCCTGTGTTGTGCTTGAACAAAATACTCTTTACATTGACACAAGGTATGAAAGAAAATGGCTGTCAAAATCCATGAATTACAAAATTGCGTCATTTTGTGGACATAAATTGTAGAATTATATGTCTTAAAAGGGTTCTATTCAGAATTTTTTGGAAGTCGTAAAACACCTGTCCCCTGCAGTATTTTATATGATTTTTAAGTTAAGACGCTTGTAGAACCAGCCATGCAGAATTAAAATCTCGAAAAAAAACTGTTGGCAACTATTTAGCCCTTGCACCCAATACCCCTTAACCAGGTTAAGTGGAGTTCCCCAAACCTACGCTAGATTCTCAGTAGCTAGTATAACTTTAGCAGCACCGTGCTGTTCGACCCCACCACCACCGTTCGAAGAGGCACCACCGAGGACCAGTAGAACCAATTCCTCGTCAACAACCTCGTCCAGTGCGTCACGACGCCGTGGGGCTTCCAGTGCGAGTGTCATGACGACGTCGTCGGCTTCGTCTTTGGCACTCACTCCAGCTGCCTTGAGTAGCGCCAGGAGCAATGAAGCAAGGTTAGTTATGTTTTATGAGGCACTAGGTGCTTTTTTATTTATTATTTTATGGGCTACTATGTATATCCATAGTAGTCTATCAGGCACGCGGCTAAGTGGATAAAACGCTTGGCGTCTCCCGCCGAGCTCGGGCGACAACTAATCCGGAAATATCCTCAAGATATTTATGGGCGAGTTACTTCTTGTGCTATGAATGTTTCTGACATTTTTGACAATTTTATGGCAGAGCTTTTCCAGCTGCGCTCTGTGCTCAAGCAACCTGTCGGATAGCTCATCCCGGGATACCTAGTCTCGAGCTCCAGATTTGGTCGGTTCTTTCGTCACAGTTGCACGCGTATAAGGTGCTTAGTGCTCATGGTACCAAGCTTGCAAGTTGCCGGCTGTTATATTAGTGGTACGCTCAAGTGGTTTCATAAAGTGGAGATGATTATATCCCAGAAGGAGGTAAAAAGTGTTATCAGATTGTGTTAACTACAGATTCATTCACTTCATTATGGCTGGCAAAAGTGGTATTTCCGAATCAATACGGTCTTCATGGTATTTAAAGGGCGTCAATACATGCAGACATAAAAATAAAAGACACTTTCTGTGTCACCCCCCAGGAGCCTTCAAAGAGTGTACCATTCCCTGAAAGGTCGGTATCACGTCCTCTGGCGTTGCAGGTGTTCATAAGCTGCGGTTTTCACATTATTACATACAGTCACCCACCTGATCGTTTGCCTCCAGTCCCATAAAAAAAGCGTATTAGACATACTTATCTAGAGCTGTTAGCAATCGTATGAAAGACCAGGTCGCACCTGGAAGGTTTCAGGTGAGCGTCCAGCCGTTCTATAAAGGAATGTCAACTCAAACCTCTCAACCCAGATGTGATATTCCTGGTTGTGCAGCAATTTTTCTATTCATTTATCAAAAGAAAGCATCGTCATACCAGCCTCCAATCAGGCAAAGGCTGATCACCCTACTTGCTACATAAAACAGATACACAGGACCCAGACCTAAGGTTGTAGCGCTAATATTGATGTAAGCGATTATCACGTTTCAGTGTCTGCTGGACTCCTCCAGCATCTGTTGAGGGATCGACTCCAACGTGGACAGAGGGTACTCCGAGTTTTACAGAATCAAGTAGCAGTGAACAAGGTATTATTTGGTTAACTGTGTCTGTGGCTTTGATGAATTTATTTTGCAGAATTTATGATATCCAGGTAATCCTATAGATGATAAATGGATCCTCAAAGAAAATTATAATAATCTAAATTTAATATTTAATTTACCAAGAGTGAGTGTAAAAATTAAGGGTAAAATTCTGAAACGGCAGCTGTCAAGTCTGACTTACGTCAATTTTGACATTTGACAGTTTGCGATGTTTCTTAATCTCACCCTAAGAATGAAATCCAAAAGGCCGTGTTGGACTAGTGGCTTTAGCGTGTGACTCTCATCCCTGACCTCGAAAAAACCCCGGCTGTGCACCAATGGACTTTATTTGTGCGCAATTTAACACTTGCTCGTACGAAACAAATCATCGCCGTAGACCCAAGTTGACTGCTTGTGTCAGGCACAGGCTGATCACCTATGAAACATACATAAATCTAAAAATACGATATTTTTTTATATTAAAGTTATACCGATGTTAGTATACAAATTGTTATTTAAGTGTTTAAATTCAAAAAGTTTTACTTTCTAAAACAAGAAAGTAAGATGGCGTTGCACCACCGTCGTTGTGACGTAACAAGCTTGTAAACAAACGTCTTAACCTTATCATCGTATTTACAAGCATGGCTGCATGTTATGTAAGGTCACAGATGCTTTGAATATTACGTTAACTAAAAAAATACATGTTTTATTTTACTTTGAGAGGAAAAGAGAAATGTTTAAGACAGAGCAATCAAATCTGATTTATTGTTAAAAAACTTCTTAAATACTACTTACACCTATTCACACATATATATTACTCTGTTGTCACCTTCAGCTGTTATTGGAACAGCCACGTAAGCAGTATCAGTAGTTGGTCAATGTTCAAGTGAAACCTGAACACTATCTAACTCTTAAATTATTTGAACTCCATTGTTATTCTGGTATTACAGGATACCCAATGACTCCAGGTCGTGGCGGCACTCCCATCGAAGGTCGAAGGTCTCCACGCCCAGCCCCACCACCGAGAGCCACACCCATCAACTGTCTCACTACGGAAGTGGTGAGTAAAGTTACGAATATTGCATAGTTGCCGTAATAGATTTGTAAAAATGGCTTACCTGTTTCCATGGCAACGATTGTATGGTAACCATGGTAATGAGTAGATTAACGCCCACTTTCGGAAGAAATTACTAATTAATGTTAAACGGAATCACATCACATATTACAGTATACAACATTAATTTAAAAAAAAATATATATATATAATATTTCTATGGCAACATTTCGCTATCGCTTTTTAGACTTAGCGTCAGTACGCATAACGCCTGTTGGCGAATATAAAAACAAAACTATCAATAGACAATTGGCATGAATATTAGCTTTATTAACATAAGTAAGTTTATTTATCATAATATATAATATTCCACAATCACAACAACCAGAACTAAAATCAATCCAGTATTACGAATTGGTTACAATGAAACTCGGCTTGATTGGACATCTATGTCATTTTCAGTTGAATCATAATGTTATGTTGTTTTCAGTGCCTTTGACACTTCCAAGTGTTCTCTATCTTATAAAAATTAGAAAATTATGACTGACTTTTAAAAAGTTTTATTTAAATCTCAAACTCTGCAACAGTAGAGTAATATACATTACATACTACTATCACAATATGAGCTCCAATAATTTCGATTTAAATCGTTTTTGTAGTTCCGATGACAGTTGACATTCTCTGATGACAGTTAACATCGAAAGCTGTCGGTTAACATCTAAATATGACATTTAAAAATCATAGTTGACATCTAAAGATAACAGTTGACATTAAAAGATTCTGTTGACATACTATATTACTTTTTGATAGCTCGAACGTAAATTCCATTCGAAAAATGTATGTGCGAGTACTGGGGGTATTTCCATACAACGCCATTACTTTTCTATTACGACAGCTATTTGTATTTATTCTTCGTTCTACGCCTAGTTTTGTATCACTAACGCAAATTTTTCTTTTGGACGCTGCTTTCTGGTGGGTTAAGATGCAACTAAAACATAGAGTTGATTTTGATTATAAATGATTGTTTATAGTATAAAACTGCTTATATATAATGTTATTACTGAATCATAGATGGCGTTGTAAATGTGTGAAACGCGGTATCGTTTAAATGCAAAACTATATTATATTGGAAGCGTTGTTTGTACTTTTAGTCAATGTAAGAGTGATTTAGAAACGTGACTTACGCGCGAACCAAACTCCCGCATGCCAAAATCTAATACATATTGACACGGATCCGGATGATCCCATCGTTTCGTTAGCTAAGGGTGGAAAAAACTGGAGATGGTCAGGTTCTTCACTCTGTTTGTCGCTCACTCTAGTGAGTTTCCGTCCTGCCCTTCAGGCGATGAACCATCCCGTGACGGCCTAAGCCAAGTTCCCAGTCTCGCAGGAGACGTCCTGGTGATGCATCCCGAGCCTGAGTTGTCAAGGCCCTTCAGCGAGAACAGCTCTTCTTCCCTACAGCAAGATTCTATTAAAAAGCCTACGGGAGACTTCGCCCTAGTTCTTGATTGGCTATGATGATATATATATCACAAATAATCATGAATAATAAACAATTGTCTTAGCAGCGGTTTGCACCTGCCAATTGAGAACTGCCTCTTAATCACATTATCAGCTCTAAAACAGCTATTTCTTCTAGAACGGATCGACTGTGTACAGTGCTAAGTGGCACTCAAATTTTGCAATACGGGAGTAGTAAGTTAACTTAAGGATTGGCACATAAATAGGTATATAAAACGAAAAATGCTTTCACAAATTTGCATTCGATTTTACGAGACCATAGTCGCGACAGATTGACAGACGGTTGACAGTTGACTAGTTTTGTTGATGGCGTGCTTAAAATAAGTTAATTAATTTCAGTAGAAAATTATTGGATATTTGTATAAATTAATTTTACACTTCGTTACCTTATACAAAAACATACATATAAAAAAGTAGGTTACATAAGTATTAGGCAACGGGCGGCCTTATCGCTAACAACGATTACTTCCAGCCAACCCTAGTATGGAACAATAAAAAAGAAACACCTACAGAGGTTAAAGTACAAGAAGTTAATGTTAAACACTAACTATAACAGAAGAAAAGTAAAATCTAAAAATAAATATAAACAAAAATGTAAAAGCTAATTTAATGATAATTGAGTCATCATTAATATGTTTATTTAGCTAAATTACGAGGCAGAAGATTCTATCAAAAAGATTTTTAATTAAATTTAAAGACTGAGCTCCTCTGATATCAAAAGGTAAGGAGTTTCAAAGCAGGATACTTTGCACAGTAACGGAGGGTAGAATTCAGTTTTATGAGTAGGGGTTTTAAGAATTAGATTGACACGAGAACGCAAATCAAAACTACCGCCAGAGAGGAACATAAAATTTTGCTTTGAGTAAAAGTAGTAGTGTTAGGAGGAAAAAGTTCAGCTCGCCTTTTCCCGAAGGGGTAGGCGGAGTCCACGGATCTCCTGCTACCACATACCTCGAATCATCCATATTACATCCACCATACTTGGGTTCTTTTAACCTGTCCCTTCTCTAGTAACTCCTGGATTTGGTCCATACGACAAGGCCTAACCTGATTTCACCATCAAAATATTATTATTCTTCACGTCTTTTTCCCGAAGACAAACTGAGACCACGGATCTTACTGGGTACTTTTGTCTTGTGCCTTCTGTAGTAACTCCTGGCTTTGGTCCAGGACTACCAGACCCGACTTCACCATAGCTGCCTTATGGTTGTGTTTAACCGCTTCTCATTCGTTCTACACCATTCCCTTTCGTATCCTTATCTTCTCTTTGAACCCACACTGCTATTACTAATCCTATCACGCAATACACCACACATACTTCTTGACGCTTCATTACTTCTCTGCCCCACCTTCACCATCATAGATTCTATAGTCACTAACAAAAGTGTCAGGGTCAATAGAGTCAAGTAAAAGACAAATTGCTTCTCTTTTTTCTATAGTGCTGCTTGATAATTGCATGATATTAATAAATATACTTACTGTTTACGCATCTGTGGATGGGAAAAGGTAATATATGAAGTTTATAAATATGTTCGACCATAACCTTTTAGGTCTGGGCCTCTTATCTTTCATGTGGCAATTAGGTGATCTTTGCCTGGTGCCTTTTTTGCCCTGAACATCCATGACAACCGACTGGCGAGGTCCTTGACCAGTGGCGCTACAACCTTTTAGGTCTGGGTTCCTATGTATCTGTTTCATGAGGCAAGTAGGTGATCTTTGCCCGATTGGGTCTAATGTCGGTGTTACGATGTTTTTCAACGAGCTAGTGTTAGTCCATTGGTGCACAGCGGTCACCAGGAGAGTGAAATCTCTAATATATAAATTTCTCGTGCAACAATGTTCGTTCCAACCTTCATACTCTTTCGATACCGATTCTTATGAATTTTTTTATGCATATTCAGTTAGTCTGAAAAGTCGGCTACTATTTACCTTTCAAACTCCTAAGTGATAAGGGGTGTCCACCCTAAAAAAATGTTTTTATTTTTTCTTATTATGTGGCATAAAAAAATACATACAACTCTTAATTTTCACCCCTCTATGATTAACCACTATTTTTTTATTATAGAAGATAGGTTTTTTTTTAAACTAAAAAATGTTTCCTAGGAATAATATACATGTCAAAACAATGTATGTCAGCTAATTAATGTATAAAAATTAGGCTACCACTGTCGAAAATTTACGATCCATCCTCTATAAACAACTAACTACCTAATAGGTAGTGAGAACATCTTAACACCCAATCAGGCAAAGGCTGATCACCTACTTGCCTCATGAAACAGATACATAGGACCCAGACTTAAAAGCTTGTCTATGAGTGTTATGTGTAACCCATCTTTGGTGAAGGCTTTTAGCAGTATGACTTGCATTATTTTTACTCCAGTTTCGCGATATTTTAAATATTATGTTAGGTAACTGTTTCCTTTAGCTCAGGATCGGTTCATGATACAGTTGCTCACGGGCAAGCCATGTGTACACAGTATTTATGGGTTATTTTGTAGAAATTTCCGGGTTATTCTTCATGTATCATACCTGCTTTTTGATTGATGATATAAATGGATATATCGGCAAGTCTCACAATTTAATTCGGGTTTTGGGATTATTCCGGTGGTGGACAAAATTATAAGGACTATGTATTATGAACTGTCATATTTAGATGTCAACTGTAACCTTGTCAGATGTCATCTTTCTTCGTCAGCTTTCACTTTCGATGTCAACTGCTATCTTGAGATGTCAAATGTTATTTTGAGATGTTAAACGTTATGTTGTTTTACTTCGAGCCACTGTTAAATAAGAAAAGTCCACAGCTGGGATTCGAAACTACGACTCGCAGTAATCATCCACTCGCCATTCATAGGTTCTATAGTCCACAGTTGTTATTAAATTGTGTATAAGGTCCAATTAATGTTTCAGGTCGAAATAACGCGTTTGACTTCAGAAACATCGATAAGAATCTCAAGCTATGAAGTGCACCAAGTGGAGGAGAAAAGTTAATTTTTATGCTTAATTAATTAATAGAAGGTTGGAAAACGCAAGTATGTATCGCAAGTATTATACTAATATAGAATACGCAAATATGAAACGTTCAAATATAAGATTGGACAATATATGTATCTTATTATTGTTAGTCGAGTTTAATATTGCGTTCTTAATATAAAATGTAGCAAAATGTCGTGGGGAAATGGGGAAATCAATTCTTATTATAATAGGTTAGTATTTAAACGCAAATCAAAAAAAAAAAACTTTATGCAATAATAATCCTAATTCCCATCAAAGTTACTGATTGCACAGCAAAATACTCAACTCAAAATATTACTAAATAAACTATAATTTATGTTCGCGGCGTTCGGCTCCTTTTCTATTGTATCAAAGCTTTTTAACCAATGCACAGCTAATAATACTAATGCACAGTTTACCTATTAACTCTTTTTTTTATATAGCTTCTATTTGTATATTACTAACAGCGGTTTTTCTAAATAAAAAGCATTTTATTGGTTATAATAATCTTATTATATATTAAGTACGACATAATGAGATCAGCAAAAAAATATAAAATCAAATATAAATAATAACTTTTTATTGGTCATAATCTATCAAATAATTATCTTATTATTTATTAAGTACGACATAATGAGATCAGCAAAAAAGTATAAAATTAGATACAAATAATAACTTTTTAGTGGTAATAATCTATCAAATAATCATTTTATTATTTATTAAGTACGACATAATGAGATCAGCAAAAACATAAAATTAGATACAAATAATAACTTTTTAGTGGTCATAATCTATCAAATAATCATTTTATTATTTATTAAGTACGACATAATGAGATCAGCAAAAAAATATAAAATTAGATACAAATAATAACTTTTTAGTGGTCATAATCTATCAAATAATCATCTTATTATTTATTAAATACGACATAATGAGATCAGCAAAAACATAAAATTAGTTACAAATAATAACTTTTTAGTGGTCATAATCTATCAAATAATCATTTTATTATTTATTAAGTACGACATAATGAGATCAGCAAAAAAAATATAAAATTAGATAGAAATAATAACTTTTTTAGTGGTCATAATCTATCAAATAATCATCTTATTATTTATTAAGTACGACATAATGAGATCAGCAAAAACATAAAATTAGATACAAATAATAACTTTTTAGTGGTCATAATCTATCAAATAATCATTTTATTATTTATTAAGTACGACATAATGAGATCAGCAAAAAAATATAAAATTAGATACAAATAATAACTTTTTAGTGGTCATAATCTATCAAATAATCATCTTATTATTTATTAAATACGACATAATGAGATCAGCAAAAAAATATAAAATTAGATACAAATAATAACTTTTTAGTGGTCATAATCTATCAAATAATCATTTTATTATTTATTAAGTACGACATAATGAATTCAGCAAAAAAATATAAAATTAGATACAAATAATAACTTTTTAGTGGTCATAATCTATCAAATAATCATTTTATTATTTATTAAATACGACATAATGAGATCAGCAAAAAAATATAAAATTAGATACAAATAATAACTTTTTAGTGGTCATAATCTATCAAATAATCATCTTATTATTTATTAAATACGACATAATGAGATCAGCAAAAAATATAAAATTAGATACAAATAATAACTTTTTAGTGGTCATAATCTATCAAATAATCATTTTATTATTTTTTAAGTACGACATAATGAATTCAGCAAAAAAATATAAAATTAGATACAAATAATAACTTTTTAGTGGTCATAATCTATCAAATAATCATTTTATTATTTATTAAGTACGACATAGTGAGATCAGCAAAAAAATATAAAATCATATACAAATTAAAATTTTTTATTGGATTATTAAGGCGGGTCTTGCTTTTTTGGGGCGTCCACGTTTCCCTTTTTTGCCGAATAGGCACATTTTTGGCTTCTACAGGTGGTGTCACGAACTTGAGTCGGATTGCAAGTCCGATGATAT